CCAAGCTCTTCTTGCCTTGAGGGTTTGCATTGAGAAGTCTGCTGTGATTCTGATGGGCTTTCCTTTGTATGTGATTTGTTTCTTTACTCTCACTGCTTGTAGAACTTAAAACAAATTTTTTAAAAATCTTTGAGAAAATAGTACCATTTCTTAGAGACACATTAAACTGAAAAAGTCTTGACATTATCCTCAATGTTACTTGGATAACGGCAGCACATCTTTTATATGGATATTCTTTTAATATCTCTTGCCCTTGAGCAAAGATTTTCATGTGTAAGATCTCCTGGAGACTTCTCACTCATCCAGAATTTGGACCCTCTGGTCCCCTTGGTCCTCAATATATGGTTTTTTGACAGGATTCTTGACATGGTCGATGAGATTATGAGAAATGCAGAATCTTAGGCCTCATTCCAGAAGAATGCATTCCATCAAGATCCCCAGGTGATTTATATGTACATTCAAGTTGAGAAGTGTTACTGAAATATAAAGCAGGTCCCCTGTGACTAAATTTTAAACACACTCCTAAAGTGATTTTGATATATGTGACCAATGGAAATATAATGCCTTAAAAACATTGTCCCAGGCATGATACTAAGATGCAATCCACTGAAATCATGATTGCAAAGTAATCTGAGAAGCCAGGGGGCGTCACAGAATCAAAACAATAGAAGATGTGTGTGTGGAGCAGTCTGTGCTCTGATGCTGTGGTTGGGTCCCAGAATAAAATGTAGGATATTGGCAGGGTTTCACCTAAGTTTTTTTTTAAAATCCCAAGAGCAAAGAAGAAAGTGTCCTTTAAGTTACAGGGTGGCCCACCTCAGATATGAAATTCTTTGAAGCCAAAACTACAGCTAAAAGTCTTTGAGAGTGTGGCATTGACTCCTTAATATAACTACGTTTAACTTAAAAAAATATTAATTTCAATTACCACTGAGCCAAGTTGATGTTGCAGTAAAGTGTATGACTTATTTTGTGTTTATAAGAACCCCAGTGCATACTTATACTTACTACCGGGGAATATGCTCAGATGGTAAATTAAAGATGGCTCTCAAAGGACAATGCTAAATAACAGGGTAGATTAATATGTAGAAGGAATGTCACCATCAGGCATATTTCTTACAACCTGCTTCCAGAAAGTGGGAACATGACAGGGGAGAGACTTGGGGGAAGGAGGCCCCCTATTTTAAAGCTAAGAAAAGAGCTGCCACCAGGTAAGCAAAGTCACAGAAAAATCTGTGCCAGAATCAGAATCCTCTGTGTCTTTCAAACTTGGGTCACCCTGGCTTTCTGGATTTTAAGTCACAGACATTCTCTGTCTCTAAATTTGTGAAGTAAGGTAGGCTCTGAGATATGGGAAAGATAAAGAGAACTTGAAAAAAATGAAACTGTGAAAAGAATAACTGACTTGTTAATTCCACTGAATGGCTGGATAAGAAAAGGGATCTACCAACCAAAAATCCGATCACATTTTACTCTATAAGAACCTGCTCCACAGTTTAAAGGAATCATAAGTCCATAGGAAGCACAATGGAAAACTGAAAACAGTCCCCAATTTGAAGGCAGATGTGAACTGAAAATCTGGCCTTGTTGGGCCTCGAGACATTCACTGAACGTTCTAAGGCACTGTAGGCTCATCTGTAAAATGAGAACAATGGTGTGCACCTTGAAGAGTTCTTTTGAGGGTTCATGTAAATGCTCACCTGAGTGGGTAACTGGCCAATCTTTAACAAGAATAAAATGTTGTCCTGCTAATATTAACATATTAACACTCAACGTATTTTATTGACTATTCATTGGCCACTATGATGACATCAAAGAATTAAGGCTTTGTATCTGGTTTTAAATTTCGTTCTATTAAAGATGATTAAAATTGAAATTATAGCACTAAAGAGAACCAGAATTCATTTACTTGATGTGTGCAATAGACTGTAAGCACTTTTTTTTGAGGTGGGGTTTCTGCTGTTGGTCTTCTGTTGTTCAGCCTTCCTCTAGCTGGGAATACAGGGCTAAACTATAGTTCCTGCAGTAAGCACTTAAAAAAATTATTTCAGTATGTGCTTATCCCACTCCCAGGAGCTAAGAACTAACCCATTTTACTGATGAGGAGATAGAGCAGTGGCACTTGGATGCACTGTTGAGTACCCTGTCCCTGGGGCGTTTTGCTCCACACTGGTTTAGGTATAGACTCCATCAATGATTTATTTCTAGGGGCTGCAAACTCTGTTTCCATACTGTGCTTCCCTGGTACAAACAGAAAATAAACCCCAATGGCACCATGGATGATATGAATTGCATTTAGATTTGAATAAATCTCACTTAGATTTGACTACAGTTACCACCTAAGTGGGCTGGCTGCCTCTGGTCTTCTCTTTCCTATTGGCCAACCCATCCTTTCACACTGCCAACAGATATCTTTATACAACACAAATCTGACCATGACACTTCTCTACTTAACAGGCTCCCTGCTGTCTGCAGAACTCTGGCCAAGAGCTCAGGATGGCCCAGGAGTCCTCTCCCAGCTGGGCCCAACCTTCCTTCCCAGCTTCTGCCCTGGACAGTCTGGCTCTTCACTGTCTGCTCTTATGTAAGACAGCTCCACATGCAATGAGGGCAGCCCCGGGTGTCACAGTATAAACTCCTGAGTAGTAAGAGAGAAAAAATTTTTTAAAATGCTTGGAGTTTCCCCCTTACATTCTATTCTGTTGGTAGAAAATAAAAAGACACGCTAAAAATTAAAACTTTAGAAGATTTGCAGTTAAAAATGCTCTCACACTAGCACTTGACATATATATGTATAACTATATAATTATATATAACATTTTAAAATAAATTTTCACCTTCTCTCAGATCTGGCATTTGGGCGGAAGATGTCTGTAACCGTATTTGTAGTTCCCCAGAGTAAAATGGTTCTTTCCCCTGGAATGCATTCCTTTTCCTAAGGAAGCGAACTACTTACTACTCATCCTCCGTATTTAGGGACTGGGTGTGTGGTCAGTGTAGGAGCACTCGCCTAGCATTCACCGGGTCTTGGGCTTGATCTCTAGTACCACAAAACAAATCCACTTAAACCCTGTTCAGGTACCACTCTGGGGAATCCTTACTCCCTGGGCCCCTTATGCAAGCTGATTTTTCCTCCCCAGGTCTCCCAAAACTGCACTTAGTTATAAGAGAGATTCTCTCACATAGCAGTACTGCACTGCCTGGAATTATTTATTCATACTTTAGATATAGTTATACAACATTCGATCATACAACATTAGAGCAGGTCTCTCATCTCTGAAACCCTAGCTTTTATCTTGGTGTTCGGCGCACAGTAAGAATTGCAAAGTTCATCACTGGAGGCATGAATGAATGATCAAAGTCTAAAAGTACTCCCTTCAGATCTCTCAGGGAAAATATGCTGTTACTGGACACGCCTTTGGAGTCATCACTTTTATAAATTAGGACCATAATATTTGAAAAGTGATTTGGAAGGAGCCGAGAAAGGTCCCAGGCGGTAAACATTTCCGTAAAAAGGCTAGCAACATCCTTAAGTGTGACTGGCTCCTACAGCACCGCTTTCCCGCTATCCTACTTCTAGGTACTTCCAGGATGGCGAGGATATCTGTTCAAGATGGGTGTTTTTCTCCACCTTGATGGAAGAGCTTCACCCTCCCTAGATTTTCTTTTCAACAGCCAAGTCAGCCACAGTTCAGTTCAGTTTTCCTACCCGGGTCTAACAGCTTGAAGTGGACTTCCCCATTGGATTTAGGAACAAGGCCGAAGACGGCCTCCCCTTGGGAAGGGGCTTTCCAGCTGCTGAAGCCGCGGGTCCTGGCCCCGCCGAGCGAGGCTCAGGGCACCGCCCACCGGCGGCTGGCGGGGCGCATGGGGCCGGACTGCGGTTGGCCACGAGAGGCGCCCATCTTTCCGACGAGCCCGGCGCTTCCTTGCCGAGCAGGGAAGGGGCGCGGGCAGAGGAAGGCGAGGACAGAACCCGAGCCCGGCCCCGCCTCGCCAACCCCGGGCGGCCCCCAGCGCGGACCGTGCGCGCGCCGCCAACTTCGCGGCCGCTGGGGCGCGGCTCCCCGGGCGCGTGTGCGAGGGAGCGAGGGAGCGTGTCAGCGGCGGCCGGCGGGGGGCAGCAGCGGCCAGGGGACGGGGAGAGAGGCAGCCTCAGCGTGCTGTGGCGGAGGAGGCAGAGGAGCCTCGCGGCGCCGGCTCCTGAAACCTAAACTCCGGCGGGGCTGCGCCCAGGGCGCCTTGGACCGTCGCAGCGGCCACCTCGGGGCGCAGCCGCGGGACTCGCCTCAGGATTGCACTTTCGCTCGCCTGCCCGCGAGGGAGCAGCAGCGTGTGCAGGCGGAGGAGCGGCGGCCGAGGCACCAGCATCCCCAGCTCGGGTGGGACCGCTGAGCGTAGGAGCGGGCGGCCGGAGGCAGGAAGGGAGGGTCGAGGCGCCAGGGCTGGGTGCGTTCCCGGGCGCACCGGCTCCCTCCGCGGCCCGCCCTGCCCCCGGGTGCCCGGTGAAGGTCTGGAACAATGGTGCGGAGCACCGGCGCGAGACCCGCGTCCGCCCAGCGGTCGTAGAGGAAGTGGCCGGGCTACGGGCGGGGTGGGCAGGGAGACGCCCCCCGCCACTCGCTCGCGGAGTTTGCGCGTCCGGCCTCTCCGACCTCGGGCTCCCCTCGGGATTTCCGACGGCTGCTCAACCTCGAGAGTATGGTGCCGGCGCCCGGGCTAATCTAGTTCTCCGCGCACTCCTTTCTCCTCCTCTCCCTCCTCCTTTCCCTCCTGCCGGGCTTGCCTTTGGGTTCCTCCTTTCCCTCCTGCCGGGCTTTGGCTTGTCGGAGTGCAACTCTGCTTCGCCAGAGAGACTGGCTTGTGGCCGCCCAACAGAACTTGTCCATTGAAAGGGAACCCGGAACAGCTGGATAATGTCCACTCCGAGCAGATTCAAAAAGGACAAAGAGATTATAGCCGAGTATGAAAGTCAAGTCAAAGGTAAGGATGGGAGCGGCTGCCTGGCTCCTTTTGTGTGCCTCCTTGTCATTGTGCTCTCGTGGAGTTGCGTTTCTAACTTGGTGTCTGCGTTGGAGGAAGGTAGTGAGGGTCAGCTCGAGCCCTGACCGAGCCGGCATACAAATACGAGTCCGTCCCAGTTCCAGCCCTAATCCTGTAACCCACAGGGACCTGAACGCTGGGCGGTTTCCCCCGGCTGCCAGCCCGCACCTGGAACAGGGAAAGAACTGGCTGGAACTTAACCACCTTCTGCTGGCAGTTAAGCCGGGAAGGCCGGCAGCGCTCATGGTTCCTGCTCAGTTACCATCATCTTCTTCTTCTTCATCTTCATCATCATCATCATTGTTTTTAGATGAAATCATTGTCACAACATAATTTTTCTATGGAGTCATTTTGTAAAGTCTGAACACCAAGTGGTCCAGAGCTTCATTGAGTGAAGGCTATTTCAGACCTTTAAACTCTTCGCTATTCATTTATTAGGGCGAGTTCCTCTTTTATAAAATAGCTCCCTAAAAGCCTGGCAGTCCAACCCAGCAGTGACTAGTGGAATCTGACTCCTTTATAATAGGCTAGAATTCAGTGCCATCTTTCACACTCACATGAGAATATTGCCTTACCATTTGCTGGAAGCCACTGGCGTGTAAAATGAAGGTTCGACTATTTTAGTTTCAATCCATTTACATTGTCAACTAATGAAGGAAACCTAATTAAGACTGATTAAGCATTTTTACTTTCCGTGACTTGTGATTTGAAAAATATATTTTCTCTCCAAGACAAGTATTTTATTTTGCTGTTGAAGTGATATATGTGTGTGTGTGTGTGTATAAAATACGCATATGTAATACATATGCATATAAATATGTGGGCTTTTTGCCTTCCTCTTGTGTGGTCTCTCGCTTAGCTTTTCTGATGGAGACAATGGATGGAGTCTTGAGATCACTGGTGTCCTTTGGTATATTCAATGCAAAGTTCAAAAAGATTGTTATGTCCACACCTGTGTTTGTCTATATACAGTCTTATGAAAGGGCTGCTGGGAAAGGCATTACTGTACTTGTCTTGAGAGAGGCAGGAGCTACCTGAGCTTCTTTTGTGTGGCCAAGTTGTGAAAATGCCCGCGGTCCTGTGAGCAGCCTTGGGGTGGGGGTGGGGTGTCCCGGAACACCTGAGTGTGTGAATCTGGACCAACTCTGGTCCCACCACAGAAGTGGGTTTCCTTTAGCTTGTCCCCTACAGTGTGGTTAAACTAAATGGCATTCAAAAAACACATAATTTTCTGCCAGCAGTTAAGATAATTTATACTTACAGGAACTTGTTATATTGATATGGAAGTTATATTAGGAAAGAGTAATTATTTCCTTAGAGCCAGGTAAACTTTCTAATGAGGGTAGCCTTTCTTTTCTTAATGAGTCCAATACATCCTAAAACCTTTCATGCTAAGGCTGTACTGCTATTCACAGTCACCATTTCCACATGGCTCTTTGTGGTAGGTCTTTGAGCGGTGGAGGTCTGCTTTTCTGGCTTTCTAGAGTACTGAAAGGCAGAATGCACGTCCTAGTGCTGGTTTAGTTATCTCTGCTCTAAGGTCATTTGTCTGTTAACAAGACTTCATGTGAAAAAATTTTTTTTATTAATTTTTTCTAGTGTATGATTTCTACAGATATGAGATCACTTGTGTATCTGAGAGTATAAGCATTCTACTTTGATTCAAATTAGTTAAATGGGATCTGTTAGAATATTTCCATCAAATCTAATTCAAGGTATGAACATGGTGAAAATTATTTTTGAAATTAACTATCCTACCGAAAGTAACCTTTGCCCTATTCCCTTTAGCTCTCCTTCCTTATACACACCCAAGAGTCCTTAGGCTGCTTGTGGACTCCTTCCTGTACCTGCCCTGCCCTGTGGCCAGATGTTGCCTTACCCCTGTAATGTTTCCACATTTGGAGGCCACCCTCCATCATCACAACTGTATGCAAGCAAGGGACTAGGGTGATTCAATGGAGTTGGATCATACACGCTAAATTGCAGAAATTTACCTGTATCCCTAGGCAAAGTCTAGAAAGTGAGAGATAAATGGCAGTTCAGTAGTGCTTGAGACCAGCAGTGCTCTGTAGTGGGAATTGGCCCCTTAGTGAAGATTGCTTGGGAGGTTAGACTGATTTTCTCTTTCATTTCCTGAATGCCTCTTTAGAGTGAGCATTTTACTTTTACAGACCACAGTCCAGTATTTATAAAGATTTTTTGGGGTGGGGGGATAAACCATTCTTTTAATTCTAAGCGGCTACTTCATCGGACAATAAACAAGAAACTGGTCTGTTTCATTGCTGAAGGAAAACTTCACTATGTTGGACTGTTCTGTTCGCAATGAAAAAAATCACATTTCTTAGATTCCAGTTGGTTTAGGCTTATGGGTGATTTTGAGTCATTTTGATTATATATATGTAATTTTTTCACCTTCTATTTTAAAATCTACTACTTTGGCCTATTGTTCTTTCTTACTCTCTCCCATTTCCCTCATAACAATTGTATTTATCTCAGAGTTTCTGAGATAGTTTTTGTTTTTCTTTTTTGGTACTGGGGATCGAACTCAGGTCCTTGTGCTTAGGCTTGCTGGGCGGGCTGCGGAACCCCTGAGCTAAATCCCCAGCCCTCTGAGATAATATTTTGATCTAAAGAAATGACTTCAGGCTGGGCGTGGTGGTGCACACCTATAATTCCAGCACTCAGGAGGCTGAGGCAGGAGGACTGCAGGGAGTTCCAGGCCAGCCTGGGCTACATATTGAGTTCAAGGCCAGTTTGAACTACATAGCAAGACTCTCTCAAAAAAAAAATAAAGAAAAGAAATGACTTCAGTTGTGGGATTTTACCACTGTGGCTACCTGCAAAGGTTTTGGGAACAGACTTTGTGGGCCTATCCTTAGCTATGTAAAGAAACATCCTTGGTGATATATAATTTCGTGTGTGAGACTATAACTATTACCTAGTTAAATGTACCATTTTGGGCAAGTCACTTAGCTTCTCTGTGGGTTTTGGTTTTCTTATCTATAAGGTGAGGAATTTGAATTCTCTCAGTTCTAAGGATCTTTGAATCTAATTGAAGATGTCATGTGAGTTCATATAAATTGTTTCATAACATGTTCAAGCATTTCATATTTTCTTTTGGCTGCTCTATTTTGGGGGGAATCATCTTTGCTTTCACTTTTTCACATAGTGAATCAGTTGAGTTTTGTGGGAATTAAAATTATGAAACAAAGAATACAGAAAATTAATAATCAAAACCATGTTTCAGATAAGCTCAGACAGATTCATAACAGGGAACGGGAATTACACTAGTAGTTAAAGAATCGATAAGTTTAAGTCTGAGACAAAAAGACTTCAAGCCACAATTTCAAAAGAATATGTTAACTTGGAGTATAGAGACTGACCACTTCATACACATTGGATAGCTTCCCAAAGACACAAAATCAGGAGAAATAAATCTCTTATTTGTGTGGGCCATTAAAAAGGATATACTGAAGCAGTATATGAAACTCAAGCCACTTGACTGTGCTGCTTATGAGCCTCTTTGGTGAATGCTGAGCCACGGAACAGTTTGGCTGACAGGTTTGTGGATTGAGAATTTTAGTGGCTTATGTAATTTCTGTAATATGCAGCAGAAATATTATGGAACTACACATATGGAAACCAAAAGAATAAAAAAATTATTTTAAAATTTGTATTCATTTTAAATTTTGATTGATCGGTCGTGGTCCTTGAGATGGAACCCAGTGTCCTGCACATGCTAGGCAAGTGCTCTGTCAGCTATACTCCAAGCCCAGAGACTCACTTAGGAGGTGGAACTCATGATTGAGAGGTTGTGTTTACTTTTAATAGTGCATGTTCGTAGTTGCTGAGAACTGACAGCTATTATTTACAGTGTTTTCCCGGGGATAGCCTCATACTCCTCTACATGCGGTATGTACACACAAGTGCCAGGAAAATGTTTTCTTTGATCGCTCTGCTCCCTGAAATAAAAAGAGTATATTTTTGGTACCAGATGGAACCTGAAGACATTCCAGTTAAATTTGATAGGACACCATATCATGCCATGGATTTTAATAAGGAAATTAAAAATTCTACTGTTGCTATTACAGAAACTGTGTTTACTTTTATTGTTTTCATATAACCCAGAATGGAAAAGGTCAGTGATTTAAATTATGAACCAAAACTTTACAGCTGGGAAGGACTTTAAACATTTCTTTTCCAACTCATTTGTATGACGCAGGGAGGCTTAATGACATATATAGTGTAATTGTACAATTAACTGTAATGTCCTTGGGACTAGAACCTGGGTCGTCCGCTTTTCAGTAGTGGTGATTTGCTTTCACATAGCAGATAGACTATTTACCTACTTAGACTTTACATTCATTAAAGGAATCATACCAGAGAATAATGGCTTTAGTCTGAGAATAGGAATTAATTAAATTACTTATAACTAAGTTGTTTTTCACCGAGATAATTTCAGAGGACCACAATGCCCAGATAATGCCCTAGCTTCATATGGTGAACTTTAAAGTCAAGAAAAATAATATGATAAGTATGCATAAATGTAATCTACTTGATGTTTTGGTGAAACTAATTGCAGCTACTACAATGGGCCCTTTTACCTGATTAGTTTTCATAAACTTCACAATATATTAAATAATGGTTCAGGAGCATTTTTTGTTTTGTTTTTTGAGACAGGCTCTTGCAGTTCAGGCTGGCCTTTAACTCACTATGTAGACCAGGCTGGCCTTGAACTTATGGCGATCCTACTGCTTCAGCCTCCTATGTACTGAGATTATAGGTATGCACTGCTACACCTGGCTCAGGAGTATTTTTGAGTAAAGCCCGTCCTTCTGCAGCACAGTGAGGGTTGGAATATAATACAGGATGGTAAATCTCAGCTTGACCATCAGGATTGTTTTGCTGATTCCTGCACAGTGTCTGTGTTGATGAGTTTA